CACTCTATGAAAGTATGACAATGGTAAGATGGTCAATTAATATGTTTTTTATCCCCATTACTTTCTGATATATAACTAATCTGTATTTTTATAGCTTTGGGCTTTTCTTTTTTCTGTATATAGCTATCTTGCTATTACCATGCAAGGTTTTGTTTTGATTTGTGTTATTTTGGTGGTTGTGGTGGTTGTTTGTTGAACTCCTGATCATTATAACCCTTGGCATCCATTTATCCTGGAGTTGTACTGAGATATTTATAGTCTCCAGGCTCCATGTGTTTTTTTGTTTGTTTGTTTGTTTTTTGCTTTTCTAAGATCTTGCCATTCCTCTCCTCAAAAAATCTATATTTAGTTTCATACCTTTTGTTTAAATTGAGTAGCCATTTGATTTTATAAAAATACTTTTCCTTTTCTAGTCGCATGCTAAAGTTAAGTGAATTGTCATTACTATTACACTGTGATTCACCAACAAGTAATTTTTAGGTTAGTTCTTGTTCACTTCTTGGGAACAAAGTAAAAAATACCTTGTCCATATAAGGAAGAAGTCATTTGCCCTCTTTCCAGATCCTTACCTCCAGTCATCTTTTGGTGATATGCTGATCTGTGTGTAAATTCGCCGTTATAACTCCTGGCCTATTTTGTAGCTTGTCCTCCACCCAATACAGGCAGATCCAAATCAGGATTTGTCCTCTCTTGCATGCTATACTTTACACCTTTTATGCCCACAATAATCTATTAATCCTTCACCTACCTGCCTACCTTCAATGCTTCCTCTTACTTAGAGACTTCTGTGACTAATAAGGTCAGAAAATCCAGGTCTAGGTGAGAACAGCTATCTACTTTTGACCCTTGAACTTATTTTTTCCTTAGCGTTCTCTGGAGCCATGGCGACTTATTCATTAACAAGTATGATTAGTACATAAACACCACTATCTGCTTGTGTCTGTTTATAAAGTTAACTCTCAATTACCGAGGGACCAATTAACTATTGGAGGTTATGTGGGTCTCATGCTGTGCCTTTTGGCCACTCCAGTCCCTGCAAAAATTCACACACAGAGTGTGGAGATGACCAAGCAAATCTATGAGACCAAGATTATTCATTTGTGCTCCATGTGAACAGTTACTAAAGTCTGATAGAAACTAAAATTATACATTTCAATGTGCTTTGGGATAATCTAAGGATAGAAATATGCATGGTGATGGTGAAACAAGCTTCCTTTTGTACCATATAAATTTTTTTTAAATGAGCAATAAAACTAAGGTATTATGGGTGCTAGTAAAAGTTAAGAGGACTATTTTTCTCGTATTAAAATCAAGTCAACAAATTGTTACCAAATGTTTACCATCCTATAAAAGAAAATGTTTAGTCATCCACCTCTAAATAGGACCTCAGAGATGAAAGGCCTCAATTATTATATTCCTTTCTGGCCAGGATTAGCCAAAGTGACTTTGCATTCATCCAACAATAATTGTAACTGACCTTGGATATTGTTGAAACAACTACAAATAGATCTAGGCTGTTGGGGAGACACAAAGATTGATTTAGCATAATATTTACCATTTATTTCTTTATACTAGCTTGAGGAATAACCCATTTAAGTATTAAATCAATGTTTCTAAAGTGTATGTGTAAACTGGACATATATATTTGAGGCATAGTTTTTCATTGAATTATATTATTATTCAGTGGTGCTTCAAAATCCTTTTAGACCAATATGTGGTGGCTCCTAAAATTTTGCCTGTATAGGATTACATCTGTCTTTGTCACTGAGTAGTTATTCTTCTATTAACAAGTAGTTAAGAATCCTAATTTTAGTGACAACTTAAAGGAACATTTCAGTGAATACTTCAGTACTGGTTTCTAAAGCCAAACGTTTTCAATTTCTAGAATCTTGCCAAAAAAGTATTAAATTCCCATCAATAGATTTATATATAATTAGTACTTTAATCCAGAAATTGATAGAGTGCTTTATTTTTGGGAATCCTCTAGAACGAGGGTCAACAAACTTTCCTGTAAATGACTAAATAGTAAAGATTTTAGGCTTTGTGGGACAATGGGCAAAGTTGAAGATATTATGTAGGCAAGAGAGAAAACAAGTGTCCACAACTTTTTGTAATACAGATCTACTAATGAGCACAGTTGACTTTATTTGTGGACACTAAAATATGAATTTCAAATGATTTTCATCCATTATGAAATATTTTTATCTTTTATTTTTTTAACCATTTAAAAATGTAGGAACCATTGTTACCAACTTGGCCATACAAAAACAAGGCAGACATGTCCTTGAACTTCTGGAGATTGCATGCAGCTTTGATCTGACTCTCAGAGAAATCCAAGACTAAAAAAGATTAGGGGGCATTGTTCTAGAGACAATTCACTGATTTTTAGGAGGCATTTCCTAAGGCCCTTAGAGTTTCTAGGGAGTCTGTGGGAATTCCTACTCTAGGAGCTAATCCTGCTAGAGACAGTGAGGGTAAATAATTCTCTAGGTGATATTTTATTCATAAAGTCAATTGTCTTCACCATTCTTGTTGGTTTTATAAAACTCAGAGAAAACTGAAAACCCACACTTCTGGTTTTAGGAGGAAAAGTCTTCTCATATTTTCAAATATTTAGAAAATAATTTAGGTTCAAATGAATATCTGAAACATATTTAAAGTGTCTAGAGCAGCCGTGGGCAAACTACGGCCTGCAGGCCGGATCCGGCCCTTTTGAAATGAATAAAACTAAAAAAAAAAAAAAGACCGTACCCTTTTATGTAATGATGTTTACTTTGAATTTATATTAGTTCACACAAACACTCCATCCATGCTTTTGTTCCGGCCCTCTGGTCCAGTTTAAGAACCCATTGTGGCCCTCGAGTCAAAAAGTTTGCCCACCCCTGGTCTAGAGTCTGCTCTAGACCATTTCAGGCTATAAATAGAAATCACATTCAACCTGCTAGGAACTTTTTTCTTTAAAACAAAGATTACCCCTTGGAACAGTTTATATTATTTCAAATGAAATTTAAAGCTGCAATGTAGGTATAAGCAGGATTAAATTTACTTATTAAAGCTGAATGTGCAAGCTTGCAGGTTTCTTGGCTTAATGGGGGTGGGGGGGGTGCTGTTACCCAAATCTGAACCTTGAATGTTCAAATTCATAAAATGGGGTAGTTACCCTGGGGCAGAGATGGTAGTGAGAAAACAGAAATGTCCATTTGAAAATAAGTAAAAACCTCAGGAGTTTCTGGAAGTAGAAGAATTGCTTCTTCTAATAACAGTGTTATTGAATGAAATTTGTACTCAAGGAGGAAATTATTATAAAACATAATACTCATTTTAAAACCTAAACATGGAACAGTGTATGTGGTGAAAACCTAAACATTTTTAGCAAGCCCCTTGCACTTTTTAGGTAGACCTTTAATTAATTTACAGCTTATTTTCACAGTTTTTGAACTGTGGGGTATGTAACAAATTTAAGAAGGTTGAAATATAATCCAAAGAAAGCAGAAGTTAACCTAAAAAAATTTCACCCTAAAAAGAAAGGAAAAGTTAAAGGAACTTCAGTGCTACTGTAAACAGGATGCATTGCTTCTATGTACATTAGGCTTAATTATTATTAATTGATCAGTATTTATTAGTCTTTAATGGTGTTTTTAATCTGGAAAATCCACTCACAGGTAGAGCTTCCTTTTAATTCAATAGTTTTTAAAATGTACTAATGGTTCTTCTCAGTTCTTTAAAAGGCAAAAGCAAAAAGTATCTAGGAATAGGATAGTGAATTTAGTTAGAAATTTACTATGAAAGAGAGAAAAAAAGAAGTACAACAAAGCATACTATTGTGTGGTTCAAATATGGAGATTTTATGAGAGATTCTTGGTGATTTTGAGAAAATCATACATTATCAAATTGATAAAGTCTGCATTTTTGTGGAAGTATGCCTGGGTGGCTCTTTCCAAGAGATTTCTACCTCATTATAAAAGATGATATCTCATCAGCTAATTACTGGACCTTCATATCTTATTCAATAAAAAATGTGACATGTCTGTATAGTTTCTTCCATCATAGTACCTAGTTAGGCTGGATAAGCCCTTGGCTGACTGTCCACAAACTTTAAAAGAACCTTTCAGACTGTTCCATCATCTTTCCTGGTACCGGGTATTGCCCCTTTCCTCTTAAAACTCTTGTCCCCCAAGTCTTCTCTAATCACCCTAGTGAGTCTTACCAGTTTTCAGGGGGAAGGTTTTATCCCATCCTTCCCAATGTCAAATTAGGTAATTTGATAAACTCATCTAAGGTAGAGTGCTAATGCAGAAGTCCTTCCTTCCAAGTTAAGTGTGGTCTACAACTTCCTATTCATCTTGTATTTCGAATTATCCCTATTAATGTGATTTAGCAGAGGTTTTGGCACAGGTTGGTTGTCAGTGTAACAGTTTTATTATTTTTTAGTGAAAGAAATAACAAGAAAGTAAGAAAGAACACAAGCTATCAGTAATACACAGTGAAACACTACAAGTTGCACAGCATGGCACTGACGACTATAGAGCAGTGGTTCGCAACCTGTGGGTCGCGACCCCTTTGGCGGTCGAACGACCCTTTCACAGGGGTCGCCTAAGACCATCCTGCATATCAGATATTTACATTACGATTCATAAAAGTAGCAGGCCGATGCTCTATCCATTGAGCCAAACCGGTCAGGGCTGGTGGCATGATTTTAAGGTAAAAAGGAAAGTGCTAAATAAAACACATTTGGAACAAAATCCATCAATGAGGTGAAATTTGGCTAACTCATGATTATTAAAATTATGTGACTCATTTTATCAGTTTACCAATAAATTTGATACTCAAAGATATTTGTTGGTTTAAAATAACTCCTATATGAAATTAGTATAAGACTCAAAATAAATCTGAGAAACAATGACAAATTTTTATATGCTTAGCCTTTCTAAAAGAATGCCTCCTTGTGTATTAATAGGAATAATGTTTAACTAACACTTTTTTTTCTTTCAAACATACAGACTGCCTTTCCTATGACTCCATCACTTGCAGCTAATCCTACCATGGCTTTCAATCCTTACTTAACTCATCCTGGGATGGGCCTGGTTCCTGCTGAACTTTTACCAAACACACCTCTTCTGTTTCCTGGAAACCCGCCTCTCACATTGCCAGGAGCTGCTGGTCCAAAACCGATGCGTTCAGATAAACTGGAGGTATTTGTGTAGAAATATATAAATACTACATGGTTTATATTAACCTTATGCATGAAACCACAGCCTCAGAGCCTTATGTTTTGAATGTCTTAAATGAGTGCACCTGGGTTTTTAGCTTATAGAGTATAACCTCAGAACAATGTTAATTATTTTACTACTGCAATTATACCCTTTTGTGAAGTGAATTGACTCAGTTGTACAGTAGGTTAAAGCATGTCTTAGTAACTGGCCACAGATGCATCTCCTTTGCTATGCACAGGAAATCTGGTGGGAATGCTGCTTCTACTCAAGCTCCAGCTTCATAGACTGGACTTGCTATGCTTGTTGATGGGTTTCTACGTGCTAGAATAATCAAACTGAAGAAAAAGGTAGCCTAGTCTATCTGCTAATGCAGAATGTAAATGAGTCTCATAGTATCTAAATATTTCCCCCATTTTTTTAAAGAATGATATATTAGATATTAAATATCCCTTTATGCTAAGAAAATAAAATGTAAAAAAATTGAAACAGCTTTCTGATTTATTAAAGTCCTTCAAAGATCTCTTAATTGTCATTCTTCATAAATTGAAATTAATAACTAGTCAATTTCTTACAAAGTCAGCTTCATTGGCAGCTTCTTAAATGCCTGGCAGTGTATTATAATGGAATTTGATTGTACACATAATGTAATTCAATCATGGCCCACAAGTCTGCTTCTGCAAAAACACATTGCTGTGTGATAAAGACTCATCTTGGACCTTAACAAAATAAATCCCTTTTGCAAATGTAGCTAATTACACTTTAGGCTGTATTAAATGGAAAATTAAAAATTGGTTTCCAACAATGCTTTTAAGCACTTTTATTTCAACGTAAGAAAAACAGACAGCTTTCCTTTGGAGAGAATGGATTTTTTTTTTCTAAGAATCAAAATGTTGTCTATGTTTACATCTCAGAGTGAACATGGCTTTACATTATCCTTCAGCTTTTTAGATTTTTCCTAAATAGATGGCAAAGTAATGTATACTATTGCTCTTACATTCACTGGCAAAATAAATAAAACTTAATCACCTTCTAAGTCATCAATGTGATATTTTTTTCTTTAAGGTTTGCCGAGAATTTCAGCGTGGAAATTGTACACGTGGTGAGAACGATTGTCGCTATGCTCATCCTACTGATGTTTCTATGATTGAGGCAAGTGATAATACTGTGACCATCTGCATGGATTACATCAAAGGCCGATGCTCCCGGGAGAAATGCAAGTACTTTCATCCTCCCACACACTTGCAAGCCAAACTCAAGGCAGCTCATCACCAGATGAACCACTCAGCTGCCACTGGGATGGTAAGAACAGGCCAGGACTTATGGACTATTTTTTTTTGGGGGGGGGAGGGTAAGTGATTAATATATACCTCAGCATGTCTATTGTCTTGTAACCATAACCTTGGATAGTCACGAGTGGAACTTAATATGAATAGCCAAGGTTATAAGCTGGAAAAGAGAGAACCTATTTGTTCTATTTCATTCACTAACATTTTCTAAAGGTAATTATTTAAAAAGCTTTACTGATTATTATAATCTACTGTGCTTTTTCTCCCATTTTTTAGGGAAAGATAAAATTATATCATTTAAATAGTAAATTAGTTTTGAATGATTTTTTATAGCGTAACTAACCTGAGCATATGAAAAAGGGCAGCAAGTTGCTCCTCTGCCTATGAGCCACCTACATGGGACTTTGTTAGTAATATCTGTAATGCCTTTCAAAAACAGAGGACTTGAAAGATGGGATAATAAGTAGGCTCTTGTTTCCCAAAGGTTAAGATTCTCTTTCCTTTTTGGAGGAATGGTTTTAAGGAAGCAGCCAGCTGAGGCTGGGAAGGGCATTTCTACATGGTTGGGAGAAGAGGCAAGAGAAGTTGTCCTAGCAAGTCAGTTTTGGGGAAAAATTGATTTTAGGAGCTAGGGAAAATATTTGCATACCATACTACAGTGTGATACGTTGAGAAATAGGAATTATGATTACTTCTTTGTCACAGCTGTCAATTATTTTGATAAGCTCCTCGCTATTTCTTTTTTGGCTTGGGCCTTTCCTCGTGTAACAGGGTGTAATAATCCAATAAGGGATAAAACCTTGAGGAACCTCATATTTCCTGGCTGTGGAAAAAATCATCTACAGGAACCTGAAGCCCCTGACAGAGACCTTACCTTTAATAAGAGAAATACATTTATTTTCAAACCCCATATTTGTTAACAGTGTTTTCCTCATAATGAGTTGAAATCTATCTTGCTATAACTGCAACTCATACTTTTTTTATTACACAAAATACGTCAACCCCTATTCCATGAGTGGTGACTCTGATCTCTTATTCTCTAAACCAGATACTTCCAACTTTTCTTGGTAGATGACGGCTTTAAGGACACAGCACTAATTTTGGACTTGCTCCACTTTCTCAATATCCCTGTTCTCTCAGAACTGAACCCATTACTTCATGAAAGACTGATCTGGAAAACATAATCTGTTAATGAATGTTTTTTTCATATATATTTTATTGATTTTTTACAGAGAGGAAGGGAGAGGGATAGAGAGTTAGAAACATCAATGAGAGAGAAACATTGATCAGCTGCCTCCTGCACACTCCCTACTGGGGATGTGCCCACAACCAAGGTACATGCCCTTGACCGGAATCGAACCTGGGACCCTTTAGTCTGCAGGCTGACGCTCTATCTACTGAGCCAAACCGGTTAGGGCTGTTAATGAATGTTTTTAAAAAAAAGACCTCACCACATGTTGTTTATCTTAAATTCTTTTGAATGAGGGAATTTTAAACTATGAAAATAGAAGGCATCCAGAATGTTCGATGCAAAATTAAGCCTTCAATTTTTGGATTATTTCTGTTGGTGGCATACAGTTCAGAAACAGCATGGACCTATTATAAAAGAGAAGAATACAGCTGGCTCCGTAAAAGTGAAGGTTCTCATATGTGTGGGGTGTATAAAGAATGGCTTGCTTGTGCCTTTATGTACTTGTCCCACATTTAGGCAGGGGGCCTTCATATGTATGTGTTCATTCCTGATAATTTGAGGGTATTTGGTAAAATACACATAAATCAGCCCCAAATTTCCATGTATAAATTTAAATATTATATAGTTGGCCTTCAATTGACTGGTACTTGTGAATGTTAATATAATATTCCTTTCTGAGTAACTGATCAGAGCAGAGTCTAGTGGTAAAGTCAAATTGGCCCTTACGAATTTGTCTGAAATAAGATTATACAAAGGAGGCTTTCCATGAAGAAGTTTAAGCTTTCTATATGTTTAAGGATTCAGAGTAGAAATGCTTAGTGAAAACAGATATTTTTACGCTGTTCAGGTTCATGTGCCTAGCTCAGGTTGACTTCATTGAAAGAAGTTTGTATGCGTTTAAAAGAAAAAGACTTCATGGGTTGATGTTAAGTTTTTCCCAAAGAAAATACTGATTCCTTCCGGCCAGAGGAGGGAAGCTTTTTTCTGCCAAGGGCCATTTGGATATTTATAACATCATTCATGGGCCATACAAAGTTATCAACTTAAAAATTAGCCTGCTATATTTGGTCAAACATTTAATTAACTCACCCCTAATGCCTTGGCAGGGCCAGACCAAATGATTTTATGGGCTTTTTATGGTCCACAGGCTGGATGTTCCCCACTCCTGCTTTAGGCTTTTATTCACAGAAGTAAGGAGGTCATGGCATATCCCTTTTTAGTGTGTGGAATGCTAGCTACTTAGCACAATGTCCTTGTCTACTTGAGAATTTGAAGCACACCTAATTGTTGTTTCTGGGGCATGTTTTTTAAGTAATGTACAATTTGCTGAGAAAAAAAATGTAATGGCAAACTTCTCCAATGAAACTGATCCAGGGACAAGTTTGACTGAGTATTATAAGCATAGTGGAATTTTGAAAGAATTGTAGACATGAAAGGAGGATTTTTAAATGCTAATACAGTTTAGAATTAAACTTTACAAGAACTGTACAAAGCAAATGGCACATACTGAAATGTGCAGCAAGCCTCTGCAAATGATAATTGATTTTGCTAACTATCTGTGGTACCTGGGTGAGGTGGGTGATGGGGAAGTAATAATTAATTTGCCTGTTTTCTTACATTTTAGTTGGGAGATATACAGTTATAGAATTTGGATCTGAAGACCTGGTATAAATTGGATTTGTTTTATTGGGCTATAGTAACAGACTCCAACTACTGATAATGTTTTTTATCGCCTATATACCATTTATCTCCTAAATCCTTATCAGAATTTTAACTGGAAAAAATGTCTTTCCTGCTATACCCATTGCCTCTGCTAATCTCATTTTAATAGTAGATGAGCATGTTAATTTTAAATGCTTATTTGCTGTTAACAGCTTCCTGTCACACCCTGTCCAAATGACGAGGTCCTTTTTTATTTGCCTAAATTAGCGAAGTTGAAAAGCTTCTTTTTTTCCTTGTATGCATTTTTCTGTTTTGAACTAAGTTGTCATTGAGTGAACTGCTTCATCTCTGCAGCTGGTTACCTTGCTCGATGGATATACTTGCAGAGGGTTCCCAGACCATACCTTATCTAACTGCTGCTTGCTTGGTTTGAGTACATTCTTTACTTTCTTCGGTACTATTTATTAATCTATCCCTCCCTCACAGGCCCTACAGCCTGGTGCATTTCAACTGATACCAAAGAGATCGGCACTTGAAAAGACTAATGGTGCCATCCCGCTCTTTAATCCCAGTGTTTTCCACTGCCAACAGGCTCTGACTAACCTGCAGCTCCCGCAGCCAGCCTTTATCCCTACAGGTGAGAACTGGGTTGTGGACACTGTGAGTGTAATGATGTTGTAAGTGTATACAATGCACACCAGCTACCAAATGACTGCTATGCCAGGACTATCAACAGGTGTTTTGACTGAAAATGAAACAGGGCAGTTACGTTTGATCTGCTAGTATATATAAAAAATTTTGTTTCTGTGATTTCTGAAAAGTAATGATTTGAAATCAAACTAGGAAACATTGTCCATATTTTTCTTTTTAACATTTCTTAATTTTTGCTTCTTATCATTGATTCACTTGGTTCAGTCTCAAATTAATTTTTTGATTCTTAGGTATAACATTCAAAGACATTGGTCTGTCCTCAAAAAAAAATCTTTCTCATTTTCAGCATTGCAAAAATATAAAGTCCATATATCTTTGATATACTGAAGATACTTATAATAAAACTACCCTTAAATTTATAGTATAGTATAATATACAGGTGATATGTAGTATAATATAACAGGTAGTTCTAGCCTCTAATTCTTAAACCAGTTAATATTAAAAAAATATAGCAGTTTTCCTGACATACTTTCCTGACACTTTGCAGCACATTTTATCTTTTACATTCAACTACATTTAACAGCTTAACAATTTTGTACCAAATTGAATAAAAATTTTAAGCTAGAATTTTGTCCAAATATATATATATGTGGGAAAATACTTTTCTTCTGTGGTTCAGTACTTTAAGAATTAGCATATAGTCTCTTAGGAATAAATTGAAAATACGAATTACCCAGTGTATAGTAGATTTTCTTGCCAGAATTATAAATTCCCACTTTGGAAACTATTATTAAATGAAAATGATATGATTTAAAAATTAATTTATAAAGACTTGTTAATTGTATCAACCTACTAAATGCATAGAATTGTATACCTGGACTTGAAAAAAAAACTTCTTGCTTAATTGATAAATTAATCAGTTAATCAGTTAATACATTTTGAAAGAAGCTATTAAAAAGTTTTATCTAGTTACTAACAGTAATTTTCATGGTAAATACAATTTTCACAATTTTCAGACTTTTTGTTGGATTTGAATAATTTAAAATCTAGCTTCATAAGCCAAAATATCTGAAGAACCCTGTCCCCCTTAAGTAATAACAAATTAAAAACCTTTCAGGCTGAGCCCCCTTTTGATAAAAAGCCTATTTGCCATATGTTCATAGTCAAGTCCTCAGTTACAAGGTGGAATAGGTAGTGATAATAGATAAATGCTCTAAAAAGAACTATTGGTACTAGGTACCAGATCTTGGTGCATATTTTGAAAACAATTTATGTAATAAATAAAATTATCCCTTTCATGATTAAAGTTACTTAGAATGTATTTATCCAAAATAAATAAAGGATGTAATTTAAGTGAGATAATCCTCTTAAAGAAAATTTAATATTCATGTTTATACCTAAGCATCCAAGAATTACTTTGATTACTTGGGTTTGTGATTTTAAAACTAGGCTGTAATTATAAGCATAGGAGATTACTTGGATTTGCATGTGCTAATTAATTAATATTGCAAAGATTATCTTTTTAGTTAAAATTATTTCTATCAGTAAAGCTTAAATAATGAAATATCTCTTTTCTTTACTTTTCACGCTTTTCTGCATGGTGTACAGGGCAAATACTGTGCATGGCACCTCCTTCAAGTATTGGTAGGTTTTGTACAAAAATTCTCAATTATTCTAATCTGAAAAAAGTGATTTTTCTGTTGTGACTATGAAAGAGCATATAACTGATATGGTTAGACATTATCTGAGTATTTAAGGTTTAATGTGGTGCTGTTTCACATCTTTGTGGAATCACATTAGTCCTGCACTCTCAAGTCCTAGTTGGTTGGCCAAATACTGACCCTGCCATTGCTCTATTTTCACCCTAAAATGTATAGCCGAACAATTTTGAAACATTTCCTTATCTAGCCAGAATGGGCAGTTTTGTTCTTAGCTTTACATCTGTTACTAGGACACTATAAAATATTTAAAATGTACAATTTCTAAAGTACAAAATTTTCCTCCAAAAAAGTTATCCATAAGATCTAAATTAGTCAATACTCAAATGTTTACAAAGGATGAGTTTAGCAAAGCTAGAACATTTCTTAATGTCCTGTGATGAATTCTATAATGTTCTAGGATGAAGCACATGTTCATGGAAGCTAGACACAACAGAATAATTTCAAAGTAACTCTTTGGGGGTATGTGATTTTTTTAACCAGTTACACAAGATACTTTAATTAATCACCAATAAAATATGGTAACATCTCAAAACCATTTTGTACATTACTAATACAAAAGACAAGAAAGTGACTTGTCTAGAATTCCTGGGGAGTTCACAGCTCCTATAGTCCCCATATGCATCAGTAATAGACAAGGAGAAAATAGCTCTGTTTGATATAGGGAGAAATTATTCCACCCCATCCTACCATCTCATATCAATTCAGTTCCTTTAATCTTTTTTGAGAGTTTGCAATGGCTTGACCTCTATCCCATTGGTCAAACAGAGTAGATGCAAAGCCCAAAAAGAACTAAGGGGCTTACTGAGATTAAAAAAAAAAAGTCAAAACAACAACCACAGAGTAGTACAATAAAATTCACTGGCTACGGAGGTGCAGCCTCTGTTATTGAGGGATTGGCTGTCCCCTGTAAAAATAAAAAATATTTCCATTGATAAGAACAGGAGCCCTATATGCATATGACTAGATGATCTGACTTCTGCAAGTTTGTGAAATGTGTCTTCACATTTTGTGACTCTGCTTCCCTGTCTTTTCACCTAAGAACTCTGTGTAGGAATGCAAACTGCATGCATTAAGAGTGCTGCTTCCTGTAGAGTTGCTGTGCTCCCAAGTGGGGAGGAGTGTTTTTAGAATTAACATGTTGTACAGTAAAGAATGTCTCTAAGTAATGGATAACTAGAGATAGGCATAAGGATAAACTACAGAGTTTCTGTTAATCACCATTTGGGGGTACAACTATGGTATCTACGACATTAGATATGTTGATTTTTCTCTCTCTGGGCCATTCATTTTGTCTGTACTTTCAAAAAATCTGAATTCAATCAATGTAGATGTAAATTACTATATATGAATGCTTGCCATTCACCCATTAATTCCTTAGTTTGCTTTCCAAAATGAGCTAGAAATGAGAAAAGCACCCAAAAAGCTTTTTAAATGAGGTAGAAACTAGAAAAGGCAAAGAGAAAACACCCTGAAAGAGATGTTATGGCTGCTAGCCATGTAGCTGTAACATTTGCCATGAAGACAAGATTTTGTCATATATTTTCTTTAAAGTATCCCATGTGTTTGATAAATAGCCTAAGTTTCAAGGGGTTTGCCAGAGTTGTATTTAAAAACCTGAATGTGTAGGCCATAGTATTATTCATCTCTGCTCCCCTACCATATACCCGCCAACTGAACTACCATATTTTTGCATGTAGATCAGGTAAGTATACATATAACTGTCCCTTTGAACCTGCAAATCTAGTGACAGCACTCATATCTATAGATTAATGAACCCAGGCACCAACTCACAGTTTCCTACTCCCATTTTTAATGTGCAACCCAGTCACTTGTCTACTTAACTAGTTATTAATACAGATAGTCTTGGTAAAATAAGATTTTACTTTATGCAGCCAATTTAACCATCTGGAAATTTGGCCTTTTAATTAAAATAAAATGTGATTCTACTAAAAAACTAACTAAATGTTGAAATAATTTTGTTTTTCTCAATGTAAACTATAATTGTTTATCCCTTTTCTCTTTTTAAATGTTTCCCCATTCTGTGCTGTGTTGCTTTGCACTGACTGTGATTGCATGTTGCACCCTGGTGTATCCATGATGATGATGTCACATGGCTTGTTGCTGTGATACCTACCATGCTCCATTTCATCGTTTATGTCATGGTTGCATAAATGGTTCACCCTCCTGTGTGTTGCTTCCATGGTTTCCTACGGAAAGTGCCCATGATGCACGGTGCTACACCTACCACTGTGTCTGCAGCAACAACACCTGCCACCAGTGTTCCCTTCGCTGCAACAGCTACAGGCAATCAGGTTTGGCAATTTACTTCACCTAGATAACTATGGTGTGTTGGTAAGACATGGTATATGCTTTTTGAATTGGTGAGAGACATTGGTCCATATTCTTGTGTTTGCCAAGTAGTCGTTACATTTAGAGTTTTTATTTTTGTGTTTATTATAGAGCAGTGATTTTCAATCTGTGTGCTGCAGAACAGTGGTGTGCTATAAGAATTTTTAAAACATGCAATACCTGACTATTTAGTCAGGGTCACTGACCTCTTTTCACTCAGATCATCAAATAAAAAAATGACAACAGCCAACACAACAATGTTATATATTTTTGTCAGATTAGCAAAAAATATATTTTTGTTGTGCTGCAGAATTTTCATAATTAGTTTCTGTGTGCCATGAGATGAATAAGGTTGAAAATCTCTGTCCTAGAGGTGTGTATCTGCTTTGCTACTGATCCTGAGATGAGCAGTTATCTCATTTTCAATAAGTTACCATATGTCTCTCTTGATATGTTATATATACAATTGTTGCTACTACACCAATCCTTAAATGTATATACTAAATATTTCTTAAACACTTTTTCATTGCTCAAGAGGTGAATTTGTTTTATTTTACTACCATTTTTAGTTATTGTGTTTAAATGTTCACTAAATACAATCATCACTTCGACCTTCATATCTGCTGGAAAGAAAGCAAGTTAATACATCTATTTCTAAGGCACAGATATCCCTATAATTATATAATAATCATGTCAGAAATTTCTTCTCATACTGACGTTAAATGTGCTTGTGTTGTTTTGATTTTCATTTGCTTTAGGTATTTACAAGCAGAGTCACAAGGAAAATTAGAAATTTGGGGGGAGTCTTGAAACTGTAAGGAGATACAAACAATAGTTATTGTGTAATGTTATGGCTGTTTTGCCTTATTAAAGTGGTAATCATGCTTCATGACTGCAAGTTCCACTGCTGTTTTAATTATAAGTATGATAACCATATAGCACACAAAGCATTAATTAATTGGGGAAATAAATCACATTCTAATCTGTGCTTTGCAAAATTAATTATTAGTATATATCATTAATATTGTCTAAATTTTTCTGTGACATGATTATGGTATTGATTACCATGTCCAAGCAGTGAACAAAATAAATGCAATCCTCTCAAGAAACTATTTTAATCTAAAATCTCTTTTACTATAGATACCAGCATTATCAATAGATGAACTGAACAGTAGCATGTTTGTTTCACAGATGTAGAAGTTACCAATAGAACAGTAAGTTTCTTTGAGTATTAATATAAATAATATTTATAGGTTATATTTTTATTTACACAATTGCATTTGCTAAAGCTCTGGTAAATACTTTCACTAATAGGCATTGCTTATAACTTAGAGCTTGATTTAAAGCATTCTAAATTTTCCAAATTGAAATGTAGATAGCAAATATGCAGTTTTTATATAAAAATGACAGCTGGTATTGTATTTTCCCAATGAGCTTACAAATTCTGAAATATTTTCCTACTAAAGGGGTATAATTTGTTAGCCAAAGACAGAGTTCACCTTTCAATTTCAATTCTTTTCAACTTTTCTAGCTTCTTTTAAAAATTACATTTAAGCAAAATAATTTTGTCACAAATTGACTGAGATAATTATCTTAAAGACAGTAAGTAAGAGGGGGTAAGAGATCAACCAAAGTACTTGTATGCATGCATATGAGCATAACCAATGGACACAGACAGTAGGGGGGTAGGAGGTGGGGACGGCCAGGGAGAGGTCAATAGGTGAAAAAGGAGACCTATGTAATACTTTAAACAATAAAGAATTTTTTTAAAAGACAATAAGTAATATACCTCTCCTACGTCATTTTAGAAAATAGTGTTTTTACAGTCTGCCATTTTGCATTGCTTCCCATGTAAGTCTACCAGAATTTCCTTAGCTGTTTTGAATTTTGAGTGACATAATTTAGTAATTTAATCAGTATTTCCATTCAAATCATGGGGTTTTTGTATGTAATTTTTGTTGCTGCTGTTGGATTTTTACCCCCTTAACCTTTGATGCCCTCTGTCTGGTGCAGAGCTTGTAATAGCACACACTTAATTTGAGCAATTGTTCACTTGGTACATGTGACCTTTGAAGCCACTTAAGACTCTTAGGTATTTTAATTTATTTTAATTAATTAATTATAGGGACTTATTAAAGAAGTATATCAATTCTGAATTGCATACATTAGTCTTTGAAGTTCTCACAACCAGAGTGTGTCATTTGGTTGAAGAAGGCAACAGTCCTATTCTCTTAGTGGGCTGGTTCCCCAGAACCTGGCTAGCATTTCTTTCCTGCTGAGAACACACATGCCCAGAGCATGTAGCTGACTGTACATTAGATAAATAGGTCCCTTTAATCATAAGAAATGTTTTTTAAAGATACCTTTGAGTATATGGAATAATTGAAGTAGCTGTGAATTGTAATAGTTTTCAGTGGTAACATTTGGGATAGTGGCAACTTGGGAATAGCACCAAATATGAGACTGTGGGTTTTGTGAACACCTCCCTGATTCTCATGGGCTGCTTCACATAAAGGTGAACAAAGGTTGTCAAATTAACTTCCTAACAGAACATGTTTGGAAATAGTGATTCCTTTTCCTTTGATTCCATTAGAAAATGTACAGGGATTTGGCACACCATAATCACTTTAATATGTAACATGTTGAAAATTTCTCCAACGTTTAAAAGATGTAATTTTGTAAAATACTATATAGTACCTAGATTTCATATTTATTCTCCAATACATTTAGCTAAAATGTTTAAAGTTTATTTAATATTTGCATATTTTGAATGATTGGAATCAAATGTTTTTTTTTCTATTTTCCAAGTACAGTTGACATTCAATATTACTTTATATTAGTTTCAGGTGTAAGCATGATTTTTCAATATGCTTGTTGAAGGAAGTGTATGGGTGGGTGGATGCTCGTCAAAAGGCTTGGCACTAGATAATGCATTAAACAATTGAGCACATCTCTGTTAACTTAGGGCAACTCTGCGCATTAGCACTCAATGAGAACCATACACTTTAGAGATGAATCTTTAGAGACCACCTCCAACAGCCCCATTTTTACAGATATTGAATATGAAATTCAGAGTGGGGAATATCTTGGTATAGTTCACATAAAGAACTGGAACAAGAACAAAGTATCCTGACTCCTGCTTCAATAACCCTTAAATATTTCTCACTCTCTTTTTCCATTTCAGTTGAAATTCTGAACAACAGAGTTATGGAGTATCAGAATCTTTCCATGAGAACCTCCATATGGCCTTTCTATATGTAGTATTGTACGTCCTCTTCTACCAACACAACAATAAGCATGATGCAGTCAATATATTAAACAACCAAAAATACCAGCCAACAAATTAAAAAGAAAGCATTAAACAATCAATGGAGATGTCAAAACAAAACATGAATAGAAAACGAACTACCATCTATCTTATTTGAATTATTAGGTAGAACACTACTATAAAATTTTGTAATTTGTCACACTGTTCTTTGTGATTTTCTAATAACTATTAGGCTGAGTAAATCTTCACAGTGGATTTTTGGCTTACTGTGCATTCTTGGTGGGTAATGTTCATCTGTTTTGAAGTGCTGTTACCTTACTGTTTTGTTTACACAGTAGCCTATTAGGTTGATTTAAAAGGTAAAAATTATACCAAATACCATTTTCCTCATTAATGTATTGTACTGTATTGTGGTATATTGTGTTGTGTTAGATTTTTACATACTACAGAGTTTTGCTGTAATATCTGTGGTCTTTGGTTTCAACTAAAATGTTACTGATGGGAAACAGAAATATGTGTGCTTAAAAAATATGACAGGTTAATGTTAATATGCTTTCTCTGTTTAGAAAATTTCTGTAGGTTTCTTGGGGCAGACATTTTAAAAGCCTTACTTTTGAGTGTTCACAAAACCTGTTCATAAACATGCATGTGAATAATTTATACTTGCAGATCTGACCTTGCATAATATGATCACATTAGTACATTATTTGTGAGAGAGACATAATTACCTGCAAAAAACAAACAAAACAAAACAAGAAAAACAGGGAACTGCTTAAAACATTAACCCCTAATTTCACTCTTTAATTGGCTTATAAAACTAGAATTTACCTTTAAATGAATCTTTCAGCATTTATATTAAAAAATATGTAAAGTGCCCATTATATGTTTTATGGTTCAAGGATCCTATCTCCTAGGTTGATTGTCTAAAACAGCCATTTGTCATCTTCAGTTGAAAAATTGGTACTTGGAGACTTAAAGATATGCTAATTACAGGTAATAAATTAAACGGGGATATGGGGACATGGAGATACTTTTTACACATTGGAGAAAAGCCTGTAAAAATCATTGGATTGCTACCTTTTACACAAGAGCCATTTCTGAATGCAAATGTCTTATGCTCTTTATAATAAGTAAGGTGCAATCTAGCAAAAGTCTGTCAGGGTGAAAGAGAATTAGTTCCAAGTGAGGCCTTTCCTCCCCAAATGGACAATCTTTTCTATTGATCACAGTTGGAACCTGAGTATAGGATTAGAGAAATGGCGGGGGTGGGAAGGACAATGGAAAGACATTTAAAATTATTCTTTGATTTATTTAAAAGTTCTAGGAAGGATGTCCACAGTTGGCTAGTTCAGCTGAGTTTTCAGTTTTATTAAACATTTCAGTGAAGTAGCAGTAGCCTGTGATATATGTTAAGTGTTGCTTTCCCAAAACTTTATTAAGAAGAGTCTCTCTCATCAAAACCAATATTGATTTGGATTCGTTTGTTTTTATATGTATTTGAAAATTATAACAGAGAGGTGTTTAAGACCCTTTGGATGAGATAGAGTGGCTGCACTCCACAGACCTGAACTGAATTCACATTACTAATTTTTATGAAATAAATTTATAACCAAGTAAAATAGTAATTAGTTCCTGTTATATGATATGCCTCATCCACCTTACTCACTTATTAAAGTTACTATTATTATACAGTAGTGGAACCATATGATATTTTACATCAACTTAGATTTAATATTTTCTAGTTCATGAAAATGACAAAGAAAATCTGATTGAGGATACCTTAAGCAGGCTAATAGTGTTTGAATCACAGATCAATGGAGTTGGTAAAACCTTTTCACAGAAGATGAAACTGAGGCCCAGGGCATCTCATTGGCCATTACTGTGCTCAGTTGGGCACAGTCGGACACCAATATCTCCAGGCTCCCAGTTGTTCTCTGTTTCACATCGTTTGTACTTCAGGACATTTGAGACTCCATCCCAAAGCTGATCAAATTGGCTCAGAATACAAAAGAGCAAAATTAGCTCTTTAATAGTTGATATCCTGTTGATCTTAATTGTCAATCCAAATCATGATCATCAGTGATATCTAAATGGTATTGCTTATATGGAGCCATCGCCATTTATTTACAGTATTGTCTGGAGTTAAAGAACAAGAGGTGTTCTGACTTTTACCTATTGATTCTTTGAACCACTTAATTTCTTTTTCCTCAAATCTTAACATTGATAGAGAAGAAGGTAGAGTACACCTTTGTGAAATTGCATGTGTTTGGAACTGAGTTTTGTTAAACCTATGTCAGTGCCTCCCCAGAAGGGTAGATCTGATCACAGGACTCCAGGAAGGATGCACCTAAGCTAGTCTGGATGTATTCCTAAAGGGGATAGAGATGTTTCAGGGTAAAATGAACTTTTTTGTGTAGTTTGATATTTTTGATGCAACATGCTGTCTCATTTAACTTTTTAAACTTCTGATGAAGATGTGCATAGACAGCAAACCTAGAGTACAGTTGTTTTCATGTTGCTTTAAGCACTGGACGACATTAATAAAGACTTATTTTTTAGTAAGAGGTTTGGTGAGAAATATTCAGGGTAGTTGAATTTTGGGTGCCACAAGTTTTTATGTTGTTGGCATTTTAAAAATTGTTTTATAAATGAATTTAAAGAAAGAAAAGTCAAAGCACTAATGTTTTGATACATGTGCAAAAGAATTTTGACATGATACTATTTTAAGATAACATGTTTTAAATTAGTTGTGCAATGACTTGTGCAACATCTTTATTCAAGAAAAGAAAAGAAGATTAGTCATTAGACTATAAATTTTCAGATAAAAAGAGAAGTCACAAAATCAGTGACTCTAAACAGTAATTTACTGAATGAATTGTATATATAAAATTCTAATCACTTGTGATTCTTAGGTAAGATTTTATAAGCTTTGTAATTTACAAGGGCCTCTATTTTTAATTATCCAAAATTGTGTTTGTTCATTTCTCTCAGCCTTTTGCAAAAATATGCAATAGTGCTGACACTTGGACAAAATAAGTCATGTATACAGATAAAATAATCTAAAAATTATCTTTTAAGAGGGTTTTAGTAGTGTCAACTTTTTATAAAAAGCACTGTGACCATAAGCATAATTTAAAGAGAGATTAAGATTACATCAAAATTAAATGGATTCATAAAATTGGTATTTAAATACAGTATTTTCTTTTGCAATCAGAGCATGACTCTGTAACCAGCTATTGCATTTTATTTCACTTGTCTAGATTAGTCTTTAATTTGCAGTTGATTGTGATGTGAAAAGCCATCTTTTCCCTAGTCCATCAATCTTCTCCATCCATTTTTTAACATGTTTTAAAGTACTTTGATTTTGCCAGAAGTGTTGTCCTACATCACTGGGCTGTGTTCACTAGTTGGTAGCCTCACCAGCTCTCAAATTGGGAAAAAGCAAGTACCTCCTCACTACCATCAGCAGGAACCAAATAAAATTAACCTTTACAACGTGAATCAGTTTTTAATAGCCTGTCCAGTAAGCATAGTAATGCCTGAATAAGGAAAACATTGACATTAAATTGTATTAAATAATATGTAAAGAAGGCCTATTGCTACTTGGAATGTTATTGGGTTCCTTTTCCATGCCTTTGGAGAGAGTAGATGAGGATGCTCTTAGGTAAATGCAGCCACAAGGTTTTCGAGTTATTGTAATCTGTAGGATAGGTTGTTTTGCACAGAACTATTAGAAACTGGAATCCTCTTTTATTTTTTAACTCTTCTACATTTCACACACATTGAAATAGAAATAGGGAAATATGATTTCCCAATTCTGTTGAATAGATTTAGAGAGATAGTGGCCTATTTTTAATTTTACTAGTGCCTGTTAAAAGTAATAGAATAAATAGTATGTAAAAGGGTATAACTTTTTTTACAAATTTAGTTGATAACCTAATCAAACTGTAAATATAATGACAAATTAAGGTTCTTAGCACCAGCTCACTAATTGGTGCCATGTTTTCATTTTTCTTGTTAGTTTTTAAGGTTTTGATTTTATTACTTTTTATATTGCTAAGTGACTAATGAATTTACTTTTGAAGGAGAATTAGAGAAAGTTTAAGATTTTACTACATGTGTTCAACCTTCTTAGATAGGTTCTAAACTGACACTGAAGCATAACAAGATATAGATTATAATCCATAACTATTCTTTACAGTTCACAGTTTAAGAACAAACTTTATATACAAATAATAATTTTAACTAATTATATTTAGTTGCTTTAGCAACAAAACTACAACATGGCTACCTTTAGACACCTTTTTGGTGAAAATTTTATTTGTAAACTATACATGGTTTTTGACAGTATGAGCATGTAGAAGATACATCTCAAATCTCAGAAAACATATATGGTTGATTTTCTTTTTGTCCAAAATTCCCATTTGAAAGCTGAATTTGTGTCCTTGTGTGACTTTTTTTATCAAAAAGTTTACAAGTCGTGGATTCTAAAATCAAGCTTTATAGCTTATAGAATTTGTTGTGTGTGGGGGGTTTTATTCCACAGTATTTGGACTTCAAAACAAAATTGTGGTATTTATGTTACCTGACCTTTTTTCATAACTTCATTTCTTTAAAATTATTCAAGTGGCATAGCTGTAACTGCAGAAATTCTCTTTTCTGGAATTACATACTTACACAAATATATCCAAATGAGGATTAAAGAATGATAAAAGCATACTATGAAATTAATTCACTTGCAAAAACATGCATAAAGATACTGTGGAATGACCCTTTAACAGTGTTGAAGAGACATATGCTGCAGTTAACTGACTGCCTCAGTTAGGGTGCGAATGTGTGAGACACACCTTTTTTGCACTTATGTACATAGTCCATGAAAGCAATCCTTGGAGGTTTTTTTTTAAATATAAGAAGTCTGTGAGAATAGTGGAAAAGTTAGTAAGAGAGAGTTATTTCTAAGGCTTTGAGAGGGAGAGATGTTGCTTTGCTGTTGTGAAGGCTTTCTAGTTTGCTACAGCTGACCAAAAGAGTAGACTGGTAACAGGTAGCAGCTCAACTTCAGCTAGCAGCACTGAACAGGAGTTAAAGTACTTCACCTTTTAGCAAGATCACTAGCAGAAATTGTTTGCTTTTTAAATTAATCCTCACTGTAAACACACACACACACACACACACACACACACACACACAGGTTTCTAGCTGAGTTTTTTCCCCCCCAATGGTTGCAAGTAGTGAAATACCCTGTAAATTCCAAAATGGATATTCCCATTATGATCAAATTAGATTACATCTTTCACATAAAATTATCAATTGGTATA